AGTGTAGGAGAGACATGTGAAGACCTGTTTTAGTTCCGTTAGCATTGGAATACCAGTTTGAACACCAGGTACTTTCAAAACCATTTTGATAGGAGTAATAGTATATATAAAGATAGCTTCTTAAATAATCTGCATAGTGGAAGAAAACACAAGAGGCAATGTGATAAACTAGGAAACGATGTTAGATAAGTAATAGATAATTTATGAGACTATTATGTGTTATATATAGTAAGAGAAAGACATTCCCTATAGCACAAGCAGGCAGTTGATGAAAGAAGACATGCAAATAGTAAATCAATCTTATTAGTAATTTAAAGAATGTAAAGTAAAACAATAAGGAGACACCATTTTTTGTCACCAGTTGAATGTCTAAGAAGAATGATAATATGAGGTATTGGTTGGAGTATGGATAAATGGACATTTAAAAATTTTTTTAATTGAAGTATAGTTGTCATAAAATACTGTATTTGTTTCTGGTATACAACATAATGATTCAACAGTTGTATCCATTATGAATTTAACATCATGATAAGTTTAGTAACCATCTGTCATCCTGCAACGTCATTACAGTATTATTGACCAAATTCCCTGTGCTGTACCTTCATCCCTATGAATTTATAACTGGAAATTTCACCCATTTCACCCACCACACTGCCTACTTTCTGGTGACCACCAGTTTGTTCTCTGTATCTGTGGATCTGCTTCTGTTCTGTTTTGTTTTTAAAATTTGAGGTATTTGTGAAGTCATATGATATTGGTCTTTCTCTGACTTATTTCACTTAACAGAATACCCTCTAGGTTCATCCATGTTGTTGCGAGTGGCAAGATTTCATTCTTTTTTGTGGCTGAGTAATAGTCCATTGTGTGTGTGTGTGTGTGTGTGTGTGTGTGTGTGTGTGTGTGTGTGTGTGTGTGTGTGTGTGTGTGTGTGTGTAACATCTTCTTTAGCCATTCATCTGTCTTCAAACACTTAATGGTTGCTTCCATATCTTGCTAATGTGAATAATGCTCTATGAACATAGGGGTGCATATATATCTTTTCAATGACTGTTTTTATTTTCTTCAGATAAATACCCAGAATTATTGTTTTTTTTTTTTAAATACTGAAAATTAGAATTGCTAAATCATATGACAGTTGTATTTTTAATTTTTTGAGTAACTTCCATGCTGTTTTCTGTAGTGGTTGCACCAATTTATATTCCCACCACAGTGCATAAGGGTTCCCTTTTTTCCACATCCTTGCCAACAACCAGCATTCATTATTTTTTGTCGTTTTTGATGATGGTCATTTTGACAGGTGTGGGGTGGTTTTGGCTAACTTTTCCCTGATGATTAGTGATACTGACAATCTTTTCATGTGTCTATTTCCCATCTGCATGTCTTTCCTAGGAAAAAATGTCTGTTTAGATCCTCTACCAATTTTTTAATTGGATTATTTTTTGATATTGAGTTGTGTGAATTAAAATTCCATGGACAGAGGAGCCTGGTAGGCTACAGTCCATGGGGTTGCAAAGAGTCGGATACGACTGAGCAATTTCTATTTCACTTTTTATATTTTGGACATTAATGCCTTATCAGATACATTATTTGCAAATACCTTTTCTCATTTAGTAGGTTACCTTTTTGTTTTGTTGATGGGCTCCTTCACTGAGAAAGCTTTTTAGTTTGCTGTACTCCTGTTTGTTCGTTTGCTTTTGTTGCCCTTTCCTGAGGAGAAAGATCTAAAAACATTGCTAAGACCAGTGTCAAAGGGTGTACTGTTTATGTTTTCTTCTGGGACCTTTATGGCTTCAGGTCTTTAAGTCTTTAATCCAGATAAATGGACACTTTGATATGTCCTTCCCCAGGTATATTGCTAGTGGGACTGCAAATAGGCACAACCTTTTTTGGGACTTTTAATATTAAAAGCCTTAAAAAATGTGTCTACCTGTTAATTCTACTTCCAGGTATTTATTTTAAAGAAATAATCATAGATGGTTGTATGGACTTATATGTAAGGAGGGTAATTACACTGTGGTATAGTTTATAATAGGGGGAAATTGGAAACATCCTAAATAGCCAACGTTAGATGATTAAATCATTGAACATCTATATAATGTGATACTATGCTGCTATAAAAATTATAGAAAAATAATTACATGGAAACATTTTTATTATATTTAATCAGGTTGTTCAAAATAAATCTTTTTTTTGTTCTTTGATTCATACCTTCCTTTGTTCACCCAGTAACAGTATACTTTATTGTTTTGCTCTTTGCTATTACTTTCCTTTGGGTTTATTTTCTTTATTATTAAATCATGCCTTTTAGTAGTTCTTTAATAAAGGGCTTTGTAATAAACTCGGTCTTTGTAGGCCTGAAAATGATTATACTTTCACTTCTAAGTAATAATTAATTTGGATATATATCAAATCACCACTTTGAGGATATTTCTGTCTTTTGCTCCGTTGCTGTGATGAAGTTTGCTGCTTTTGTTGTTTTAGTTTGTCTTTTATATCTGCTTTGCTTTTTAAAGTAGTTTTTCTTTTTCCATAATGTTCTGAAATTTCCCATCTGTGTATTTTGATAAATTTGTTTTTTTAATGCTACTTGGTGCTTATATGCATTTTCAATTTGAAATTTTACATCTTAATTCTTAGCATATTCTCTTTGAATAGTGCCTTTTCAGTTCAGTTCAGTCACTCAGTCGTGTCTGACTCTTTGCGACCCCATGGACTGCAGTACGCCAGGCTTCCCTGTCCATCACCAACTCCTGGGGCCTACTCAGACTCATATCCATCGAGTCAGTGATGCCATCCAACCATCTCATCCTCTGTCGTCCCCTTCTCCTCCAGCCTTCACTCTTTCCCAGCATCAGGGTCTTTCCCAGTGAGTTGGTTCTTCACATCAAGTGGTCAAAGTATTGGAGTTTCAGTTTCAGCATCAGTCCTTCCAATGAATATTCAGGACTCATTTCCTTTAGGATGGACTGGTTGGATCTCCTTGCAGTACAAGGGACTCTCAAGAGTCTTCTCCAACACCACAGTTCAAAAGCATCAATTCTTCGGCACTCAGCTTTCTTTATAATCCAACTCTCACATGCATACATGACCACTGGAATGTGACTCCTTGTTATTGAGCATCTCATTTTATCCTTTATGTTGCTTATCTTCTTTTTCCTTTGTTCTGACTGATAGCTTACAGCCAATAGTTCTCTTTTCAGCTACAAAATTTACTGTTTAACCCACCTTTGGAGGTTTTTATTTGTAGAATTTTTACTTGGTTTATTTTCAGATTAGTCTGTTAGTGTTTCATAATATTATCTAATTTTAAAAAAAATTCTGTTTCTTTCTTTACATTTTTATTTTAAAATGTACCAATTTTTATTTCATTTTTAGATTACTTTATTATCTCTAGACCCTGAGCTATGAATTTTCCCATTTGGTTGGGTCTGTTGACCAACTCTTTTGGCAGTGAACTTTCCTGTGCACTCTAATGTCCACTAACCACTGTAGCTGTTAGATTCTTTATTTGTGGTAGCTGGAAATTTTCCTTTTCTGCTTTCAAGCTTAGATCAAATGTAAAGACCGAGTTTCTGGTGGATAAGATAATTTGTATAACCAACACTTCAAAGAGAGAAACATTATTTAATAATTTTTAATGTTTGTGGAGTAATAGAGTGTTTTGATAATTTCATGAAAGCAATTGACTTATCTTCTGAAATAATTAAAAAATAGTCCTAGTTTTTTGTAAAGATTCAGTGACTCCTCAAAGTCCTGAACCCTTATCTCTATGCACCCCAGTCTAAGATACCATAACACAATGGGATTAACACAGTCAACTTATTTATTTTTAATATAGGAGAGGTTGTGGCTAATTAGATAGCGTGAAATCATGATGTACAGGAGTGGTTTTCAAGCTTGCTTAGGCGGTGGAGACCTTTATTTACATAAAATTGAATAAGTTCAAATTTGTGAAATTAATGAAACAAAATTTTCTGAAGCTGAAGCAGTTGTGGGGTCCTGGAGCCTGCCCACTTGACAGCTTTTATCATCACCTACCCTGACCCCAAAGACATAACCCTAGATTGTTTGCAACACTGGTAGAAAAACTACTGGTGAATTAGAAGGAGCTTTTGATTGTACTCTCAGGAATACTGGGTTCTTACTCCATCTCTGTCACTGGTTACTTGTATTGATTATAGACAATGCTAATTACTCTGTAAGAAAGGGGAAATGCTAATTACTCTGTAAGAAAGGGAAGAGGCAATTTAAAGAACATCAATGAGAAGAGTTGCATTGTATATTTCAAGTGTATAATTAGATATATAAATTGGAAATAGAGTTTGATACAGCAGAAATGTTAAGAATAAAATTTTTTCTTCCAATTTTGCAAGTTGACACCTGTTTAGAAAACATTATTCACTGTAAAAGATACATTGGGTGATGAAGACTAGAACAGTATGCTTCTGGTTTTCTGAAAAAAGTTATTTAAATATATGCACCCATTACATTAAAAAGACCTGGAAAGACATACATCAAAATGGAAAGAATAGGGGGATGGGAGGGAGGAAAAATGGAAAGAGTAGCTAACTCTGAGTGAGATGATCATTGATTTTGTTTTATTCTCTATTGCCTAGATCCTAAACATTCTATTCTAAAGGGAATATACCTGACTTTAGGAGGGATGGGCTGGGAAGGGGGGTTCAGGAGGGAGGGGACACAGGTGTGCCTGTGGCTGCGTCATGTGACGTATGGCAGAGGCCGTCACAATAGTGTGAAGTAATTATCCTCTAGTTAATAGAAATAAATATAAAAAACTTTAAAGTTTGTTAACAAGTCACTCAGGTTCAGGATCAAGTTGAGTATGTGTTCAGAATATATTATAAAATTACCTAATTGTTGGTTTTTAAAAATAATGGAAATTAATTTTTTAAATTCTTAAATACTTCCCTTTTAGGTTTTTCTACATGAGTGGAGAAGATAATTGTTGCAAGTAGGAGAGACACAGCATTTTTTTTAGGATGTCTGAAGATGAAGAAAAAGTGAAATTACGGCGTCTTGAACCAGCTATCCAGAAATTTACTAAGATAGTAATTCCAACAGATCTGGAGAGGTTAAGAAAGCACCAGATAAATATTGAGAAGGTGAGTTTTTTCATTTTCTTTCTTTTTTTTTCTAGTTTTTTCTTTTTCTACTAAAGAAACAGTTGCATATTCTGATTTATATTTGTTGTGCATTTCACCTACATTGAAAATACCAGATAAGAGACTTTGCTAAAACGTCTAGCTCCTGTTGATTTAACAGCATTGTTCATTTTTTCTGTTCTACAAATATTCCTCTCATATTATTCCTTTTTTAATGAAAAGATATAAGAATAGAATCTATGCCTTTTTAGTTGTACATAGTGATGAATTAAGCAGTTAATAATTAGAATTTGTTTGATAGTTGACTATAATGTGAAGTTGATGGATTTCCACTAAGGGCTTGCCTTAATTTCATTCACCCAGTGGCAAGTTTTCTGAACTGTGAGGGTGTGTTCATCAGTAATGCCTGTCCTCTTCAAGTGCTGTTGGATTAAAGAGGTAAATCATTGTTTGATATGAGAGAATTTCCCAGCTTCATGGCTTCCCTTTGAGGAAACCCGAAAGCCCAAATATTAGCTAGAGGTCAGCTTAGGAGGTAGGTAGGGGGAAGAACTAACGTCGGGGACTGTGGTGGAGGTTGCATAGAATCAGGCCTGGCTAGGGTCTGATGAAGTGGTTGTGGCATTTATGGGAACATGAAGTTTACAGTGTACTGAGCATGGATTTGGCAGGTTGTGTTGTCTTATTTGCTGTGGGACAAATCAGTGGTATTTGATCTCTCAGGAGAACCTCCCCCGGTACAAATTTTAAGTTGTGAGGTCCTCCATTAAATGTTTTCTGGTTGGGAGTGGTGGGAGGCGGAAGTGGTCGTTAAGCCTTTCAGTATAAACAGGATTAATCACCCTCAACTGTGTACCTTACACACGTAGCAGAATGCCAGCTTTTTCTCCCGTGGACACCAACTATCTTTCTAGTACTTAAGTCTTTTGTAAAAGTTTAGAAAATAAGTGCCAAGAAAAATAAGGTGAAAATTTCAATGCAAATACGAATAGAATTCAAGAGTAACATTTCATAATCTTTTAGTTTCTTTTTTCTTTCTCCATGATAAGTACTATGACTTTTAAGGATGAAGGGGTTGTCTGGTAAACTGGTTATTCTTGTCATGAGCAGAAATAAAGGTTCCATGCTTTGATTAATAAGGAAGGCTTGTTCTTTTAGCACTGTAACAATATGGAAATGGAGTTGTTTACTTTTGATCAATCATATCTGGGTGGGAGGTTTGATAAGGTGTGTTTCAAAGTCCTGAGCTTATGTTGAAGTGTTCAGTTAACAAGATGATAAGTATTTGGCAAATGAATTGATTTTGAAAGGAAGAAATAAGTGGACTATGGTCTTTTTAAGATTCTTTCTTTCTTTCATTGCCCTATTTTGCCTTTGACATTTTTCCCTCTGGCAAATTGCCCCTTTCTTGTATTTATTCTACACAAACATGCCTGCTGTCATTACCCTCAGACCCTAGCCACATATACCACCCAATAATCGATGAAAAGGCCAGAACCCTGGGCGAAAGGTGGGTGGGGATAGAAACATGTCTGTTACTGATTTAATTAGCTGTGCCAGACTTCAGAAAAAGATTATTCTAGAGTTATATAGATCTTTTTCTGCCAGAACATTTTTCCTCTAGTATTTTCTGAAAATTTTACTTTTTGAGAAACTTTTAGATGATATCAGAATAATTATAATTTACTGTATAGGTGATGTCTGAAGCTAAGCAGTTAGACTTACACTGAGCTATGTTTTAGTCCATAATCTTGATCATTCTATCTCTAGGACTTCTAGTTTAGTTTTAATGGTGATTTTTTAATCTATATAAGTTTGAATAGCATATTTTAGTAAATACTTTATGGCAGTGTAAAAACATTAAAAAGCCATTGTCTTTACTGTGGACAGTAGAGTTAAGAACTAAATTTAGAGTCCAGGTGTCTAACAGTGCCTCATTTTCAAAAAGAGATAGTCTTCTTGAGGGAAGGGTGTTGAAAGATAAAGTATTTATTATGTTAGCCATCAGTCATCAGTATGAATTTAAAAGAAGAAAGTCAGACTGAAGAGAAATTGAAGGTAAGCCTTAGCAGAATGATTGTGCAACATCTGAAAACAGTGAGAGTAGTGTGCTGTGGACACCTGGGACTATATTCCATGGGCCCTTCAGCATATGTTTTATTACACACGATAGACTTGATTAGAATGTAATGCTGAAATTTGAAGTGTTAGCATTTCAGCTTTCTTATCTAATATAGAATAGACTTAAGCATAGTTAATAGGAACAACATAATAAGCTTTGAACGTAATTTTCTTTGTTTCATTTTATAGAGTTTTTGGAGAAAACTGAACTTTGTAACATGCCCCACCATACACATCCTCCTGATGACCTGGTTGTGGTACCTCTAGTTACTGAGTCTTTCTGGAATAGTGCTGTTCCTTTGGCTTACTTCTCACTGCCTTTCTCTCCCACTTTCCACCCCTTCTGCAACCCTGGGTTTCAACTTTCTCTGCTCTACTAAGTCGACTGCAACATGTCCGTCCTCTTTCCAGCTTCCAAAATGCCATTCGAGTTTCTCGTCAGTTAATACCTCCTGTTGTATTCTCATTATTCTTGTGGGTTGATCCCTTTTAAAGTTCTTTACTGTCATTTTGGTTAAATTTTGAAAAAGGGCAGAGATGAATATTTGTTCTATCTGCCAGGTTTAATGAGAAGGGAAATTATTACAGGATATAAATATATGTTAGCTTTTCATAAGTGTTGGTGTTTGCTGTTTCTTATATTTTTAGCATTGAAAATTATGTAAAAAATTAGGTCTCTAATCTAAAAGAAGTTTACCCTCCAGTTAAAGAAATAAGATAGGAAATATTCGGATATGATGAAACAACATATAATTAGGTGTGAAAATGAGTGCTATGGACTATTTAGGCAGTATGAAGCCTGAACTATGTGGTACAAAATCAGATATAATCAGTCTTGTTGATTTGTCACTTTTGATTTGGTTTCATTTATTTGTTTTTTTAACTTGTGGTTACAACAAAAACTGTTCCCATTTCCCTTTTAATTATGAGAATGTTTGTTTCAATCTTACAATCACGTTTCCCCCTCATTGTTTTCTTCTGCTGGACCCCTGATTCAGTTTGCTTTCTCCTGTGTTACAGAATAGGAAAGCCGCAGCACAGGTGGTGATGATGATGGGTCTAATGGCGATAATTTCATGCTTGTCAGTGTTTGGTTAGCAATGAAAACTAGACATATCCTGACATATCTGACTAATGAGACTTGAGGGAAAAACCTGTTTGGGATATGGAACTTCTGGAAAAGACTTTTCTACTGTATAAAGATGTGCCAGCATAAGATGTACATAAAGATGTACCAGCATAAGATGTACATAAAGAGGTACCAGCAGTTCTGCTGGTCTTATATCTCCCTGTTGTATATGTAACTATAGCCAGGAGGGGTAAGCATGAGAATGAAAACTCTCTGTTGAAGGTAATAAAGCAGACAGAACTTGGGTGCCTGACCATCTTGAAAGCTTCTGAACTAAACTACCCTTGAATTTATCATCCCACTTTTAGGGTGCTGTTTATGTGAGGTAATAAATATCTTTATTAGTAAAGCCATTTCTTTAAACTTTGAGCTTTCTGTTATTTGCAACCAAAAACATCCTAATTGCATCAAGTTATAGCACAACTTTAACTTATCTGTCTACCGTCACTGTGCAAATAGACAGTACAAAAAAATGACATTTTGTAAAAACAGTGCATTTTAGAAATGTTTGTCAGTGGTCCCAACTTAACTAATTTTTTAGGGGGTTATTTCTTGTAATTTCCCCTCCAATACACATTAAATCATTTAAAGCTTTTTCTCCTCTGCAGGTATTTGGAATGACAGCCTTTAATAATGTAACCTAATTTAGGTTTAACATTGTGTAGCAAACATAGAGCCTGAGTTATTTTCTTTTTCTTAGAATTTTGTTGTGAGACATAAGGTTTCATCTATTCAATCTTCACCCAAGGTACTAATCTCTTCTACAACTTACTTGACACCTGAGCAAATAATAATAATAGTAAAGACAGTAGCTGTTGCGTTTATCTGTTGAATGCTGTATTAAGTTTTTGTATTGATCATATTTAATCTCACAACATCCTGATAGGTTAGCCTTCTTATTGTCTTCCTTTTTTAAGTGGGGAAGCAGACTTGGAGTGGTTCAATTACTTTCTTGAAATCACCATGCTGCTAAATATATTAATCTTTTAATATTGTGCCTGAAATATAGCATGATTTAAGTTTGTTCTCACTGTTTTTTGGTTTTTGTTTTCCTGTTAGTCTTGTCTATTGTGGACTGTTCTATTTTTATGCTCATTTTCCAATGAAGAAGGAAAATGGAAAAAATAGAATTGAATACTCTGGCTTTCCTACATTTATTAGCAGCATCCACTCCATTTGCTCACCTTTCAAACTTTGTTTTCTTGTTTAAAACCCAACTTAGTTACATCCTGTGGAACATTACCTAGTTGACTCCATCCTGGGTCAGACGCAGGCACACCGTCCCCGCACAGCACTGTGCAGTAGATCTTCAGGTTCACCTCCATTCTAACCGTTCATGGGGACCTGCAGGTGCCCATGCTTGATCTCTCGAGAGCTGTGAAGGTCACATTAAAATCTTTCTCATGGTGTTATTCTGAGGATTGAGATATTATATAAAGAATCCCTGAATGCAAAGTCGGTACTTGGAAATGAGTTACTTAACAAGTGAGTTATTGTTTTCAGGTACTCAACATTGGTACTCAGTTAATAATCATTAGGGGAGTCACAACCTTCCTGAGATCCTTTGTGTTTGTTTTGAGTTTTACTTTTTTCATATATGGTAGACACAGTAAGGTGAATTACTTTTAACCTCACTCTAGGGTGGATATTATTTATCTTCATTACATGAGTAATCCTAATTTTATGGCTTATGCTCATTGGACTATGTTAATATTTTGTAGATTTACTTTTTGAGTCTTTGATTTTTTTC